AATAGTTCCTTTACTATTGTGATCAAAAATATTTAATCTCAATTCTGAGGCTGCTCTGTAAATAGTTTTTAAATACCGTAAATCCTCTAATACAGGCCCGGGCCTGTATTTGACTCAAGCTCATCAAGCTCCAGGCCTTTAATGGAAGGAGGACCAGAATTAGAGGCAGGCCTCAATTTCTATTTGAGCAAAATGAACTGATGGTTCACTGGAGTTTTTGACAATTAAAATTGCGCCCACATTTTCAAAGTTAAACACATTTCCTTTAACCACGGTAGTTTCTGCTTCAGCCCTCTCCCCCCTCCCCCTGCACAGCGGCCGCAAACTCACTGATGCGCCTGCAGCCTCTCGGAGTTCCTGCCGCTCTAAACATTAAAATAATTATTTCATTTTCTGTTCCTCACTTCTGATTACCTTCAATGGTGTCTGTTTGTTGCAACTACCAGGTACAAAAACTAACTTGTTTTTATTTGACTATTTTTCTGTCCTGCCTGTTTATTATCTTCCTGCATCTCCTCTCAATCCTAAAGAGAAATTGCTACCTGGGTTCATATATATTCACCTTATGAGTTACCTTTGAACTGCAGTTCTAAGAGATCTACCGACCGCAAAAACAGCGGAGTGCACGCTGCTTGCCGGCCACATCAGTTAGGTGCGTCACCGAGGACAAAACAGGTGATGCGCCCCGATCCACAGCAGCGAAAGGCATCAGGCAAAAATAAAAGACTAAAAGACAGAAAACATAAAAGGAAATGAGCCGACATGAACGATAGCGTGTTAAATTAGTTTTTGAGGTGGCGACACCTGATTTGATAATGTTACTGTGGCCGTGCTCAGGACGCAGATGTCTGGAGCGCGTCAACAATCAGAGCTTTGCATGTGCAAGCTGGTTAAGGTTAGGATTCAAATTCAGATTTCAGATTTCAGATTTATTGGCCAAGTAAAATTACATTTACAAGGAATTTAGCTTCGGTAGATGTTCGCTCTCTAAAACATACAACAACTACAATGAATGAGAATAAAAATACATACATTAAAAAAACAAAACAAAAAAAAACAACACATAAGAACATGTATACCCACACACATGTTCATTTACACACACACATATATGCATATATGCATACATGTACACACACATATACATATGTACACACACACACACACACACACAAACACACACAAACACACACAAACACACACACAAACACACACACAAACACACACACACACACTCATATCCATAAGCATACTGAATAAGTATAAAAAAGTATAATAAAAAATAAGGGTGAGGGGAATGTTAAATTGCAAGAGGGTAAATGTCACAATTTGGTTAAATGTCCGTTTTACAGTGGGTGTCAGTACCGACGCTCTGGCACAGCGCGTTGCCTCCCGACGCGCAGGAGCTTGTCACCTGCTGACAGCAGGCTGCTGTCTTTTCCGTGGACTGCATCTTGCCGGTCATTATCACGTGACAGTGACTAGTCGATGACAGGCATAAAAAGTCACTATAGAGCGGTGAAGTCGACTAGTGACTAGTTCATATAACCCCTGCTACTGCTCCCCAGAGTGTTCTGCAGCATAACCAGCACGTTCTCTTTGAACTTGAAATCAAATTTTTGCCTACTCTTCGTATCCGCACGGTTAAAGGTACCCTCGCGGTCTATCACTGGCAAATCAAAAGTGAGACAGATGACACAACCGCCCCCCGTAATTGTTCGTTACCACATTCCACCCGGCCACAATAAAAAACCGGCCATTATTCACCTCCGCCGACTCCGACACCGGCCAAAATATGATACCCGGCAGTTAATTAAATACAGGCTAATATTAGAGGATTTACGGTAAACAATACACATATCAACTTCTGATCCTTCCATATCAATTTCAGACTTAAAATAATATATTGATGTAAACCACGCCCACTTCCGGGTTATGCCACGCCCATTCCGAGTACAGATACAGACTCTGAAGGAAAGGTTTCACATGCCACAAAATCACCGCACAGGCCTGCAACGGAAAAAAAAAAAGTTACGGTACCGAACTGGGTGTGTGTGTGTGAGTGAGTGTGGGCCCACGGGTGGATTTATATTGAACTTGGTATTGTTTTGTTTTTTTTTAGAAATGTATGGAGGTCGGTTGATGACCCATGTTAGATATGTTCACTGAAAAAACAAACTGATTTGGTTATTTGATTCAAGGACATTTACAATTTTGGTCTTTTGATTGCTTTCAGGTTAAATGAACAGTTCATTTATTCTAAGTGAGTTCTTTAGTAAAGATCATTTTCATTAGAAAGTTGTCTGGGCTTATTCTGGTTTAAGTGATAATGCTAATGTAATGGTTTGAGAGCAAAAGGAAAAGATTACTTAACCTTAGATGAACCTGCTAGGTTTCTACCAGAAATCAACGAACCCAAGAAGACACCCCACCTGTTTTAGATTCTAGTGCACAGTTACTAGACTGGGTAAGGGGGTGCTACATGTTTAACCATGAAATTTAAATGTAATAGGGTAAAACCCAGTGCATGTAACATAATGCTGCACTTTAGAAAATGGGTTGAAATATAACATGTTGGTGGAGCTGGGTTCCGACTATCGGCTTGTGGAGCTCTCGGGAGATCGATGTTTTCCACCCGTTCTCCCCTCCCTGCAGCTCGGTGCATCTCTGTCTGATCGCGGCTTCTGTGTGCTGCGCGAGTTGACAGCTTGTGGAGCTCTGGGATGGAAGCCCATCCCATTTAACCTTTCCACCCAGTTCTCCCCAGCGGCAGCTCTGCACATCTCAGATCGCAGCGGCGCTTGTCTGCTGTGCGGCTGCCGGCTTGTGGAGGTCTCGGAGACCTCTGTGTTCCACCCGGTTTTACCCAGCGGTCAGCCCAGCGTATCTCTGACTCAGAAGCTCTGGTGTTGTGCACAGTTAACTCCGATTGTAGCTAGGTTGCTACCTCCGTTAGCTTAGCTCCCACGTCTGCATTAGCTTTGGGTTAGCTTCAGGTTAGCTTGTAGCTAGTTCGACCGGGTGTCGTCAGTGGATCCCAGCCTTACAGCCACACCCTCAGCTCCACCTCTCTTCCCATTTGTGGAATTGTCTGGGCTTGATGGAACCTGTGACACGGTCAAAATGGCGGTGGTGGCCACCTCCCATTTTAGTACAAAAACTTATTATTGGAGCTATGGAAACCCATTGTCCATGTATGTATGTCGATGGTTTTGAGGGATTTTAGGTCCCTTAACATTATTTTAACACCATGATTTGATAAAAGTTATCAAATTTATGCAGAGTTGTGACATTTGCAGGAAACCGCTGAAGAAGTTATTGCAGTGCTAGCATTAGCTTTAGTAAGTGATGAATAAATTCCTGATCACTTTAATATGAATTTTATTTTGATAGCCTCCCCGTCACCCAGCCAGCTACAACACTCCAGTGCTGTAGTTTAAGAAATAAAAACTGTATAACGAGGAAAATTAAACAGAATTCATGCCCTGAAGAAGAAAGCCAGTAGGGCTGGAGGAAAGCCCTGGTTATTTTCCTGCCATCATATCTTACAAGTGAGAAAAAAAAAACAAGAAACATTTTCTTCATAAGAAAGTCTCATCTGATCTAAAACCAGTGTCATTACAGTGCTCAGCATAAATGAGTACACCACCATGTAATGGTAAGAAATTAATCAGAAGATCAATGAACAAAAGAACAGTTTCCAGATTTTTCTCCATAACATAAAACTAAGGTTAATAAAAATACCTTGTCGTCGTCTTCCTCCTTAGAGATCCTTAGATCACAAAATCTTCAGTTTTACTTAAATCGGTTAAAGCAAAAACGAATACACCCTTCAACAAAAACGACTACATCTAGTATGTTGTATGACCACCGTGATTTTCAAGGATAGCGCCAAGTTTTCTAGGCATGTAATGAACAAGTTGGTGACATATTGCAGTATCTATCTTTTATATTCTTCAAGAATAACTTCGTTTAGAGCCTGGATGCTGGATGGAGAGTGATGCTCACCTTGCTACTGACAGGTGTTTGATTGTGTTCAGATCAGGAGACATACTTGGCCATTCAATCGCCTTCTCCCTGTTCTCCTTCAGAAATGCAAAAGTAGCTTTAGATGTGTGTTGGATTGTTGTTGTATTGGAAAAGTGCATGACGACCAAGTGCAAGGAGTGATGGCAGCGTCTTCTCCTTCAGTACAGAACAGTACATTGTTGAGTTCATGATACCATCAATGAACTGCAGCTCCACAACACCAGCAGCACTCATGCAGCCCCACATTAGGACACCGCCACCACCGTGCTTCCCTGTAGGTACCATTTCTCTTTGAAATTCTCGCCTTTACGTCGCCATACAGTTTTGAAATCATTGGTTCTAAAAACAGTGATTTTTGTCTCATCACTAGTCTAGAGTCCCAGTAGTCTTCATCTCTTTCATCATGGTTCCTAGCAAATCTTAGGCGTGCTTTTCTGTGAATGGGGGGCAAGTTTTGGAGAGGTTTCCTTTGTGGACAATGCCCATAGTATGTTTTAGGCAGATGCTCTTTTTACCTTCTTTCCCTCAATATTGATATTCCCAAGAGGACCAAAACAAAGGTTAGGATTTTTTGGTATCTATCTATCTATCTATCTATCTATCTATCTATCTATCTATCTATCTATCTATCTATCTATCTATCTATCTATCTATCATCTATCTATCTATCTATCTATCTATCTATCTATCTATCTATCTATCTATCTATCTATCTATCTATCTATCTATCTATCTATCTATCTATCTATCTATTTATCTAATACAATATTTTTAGTCAAAAGACCCAACAAAATGCAAAGAACAAGCAAAGTAAACGAATATCTATCATTATCACTGGCATCCCCTGACTGTACAGAGGTGGGACCAGAGAAATGTTGATGGGAGCGGTCGTATCGATCTCGACTGTGATTGGTCCATATCCCATCAATCTTCACCAGTTTTCATCCAATCGAAGAGAAAGCGGAAACGGAAGCAGATTTTTTTTACCAACTGTTTACAAGAAGAGCGAATAGCGCGAAAATGGACGCTACCGAAAATGCAACTAAAAGTGTAGTTGGTGTTGAATATATCGTTAACGGATGGGTTGTGGATTATTATTATTGTTTAGCGCTGGAGCTTTTAAAACGTAAGCAGCACGAGGACTTTCGTAATATTTGCAGCACAGTTGAAAGTAAGTAGCGCTTTTCCCCCCGCCACGCTAGTTTAAGCTAACACTCAGCAAGCGCTGTGCCAACTTTACAAACTAACGTCTGTCAGCCATATCATGCTTCTTATTTACTTTGACAGTCCGTGTTTAACAATATATTCGATTTGTTGTTACATCCGTAAACGGTTTAGGCTTCTGTTGTCAGACAACCTCTTAATTAACTAGTTATTTACAGTTTTTCTCCATTGGTTTGAGCTCTTTTCTTGAAACAGAAATCACATTCTCAAACCTCTAAGACCATTTGGCAAAACACTGTTACAGTTTAGCACAACACTATAGCTCACCTGCAAAAGCTCATATCTCTTCCAAAACTGTTCACTCAGGCTTCAATCTAAATCCCTTTCTCATTTAAACAGTCAGTGTCTCCAAAATGGCAAAGATCCTTCTCAATAGCATTGGCTCATTTCTTGACACATATCGGACATTCTCATCATTCTTGGTGCTTTTGTCAAATTAAACCTGGATGGTTGATCACAACAATATGGATTACCTGCAAAAGCTCATATCTCTCCTAAAACAGTTCACTCATGTGTCAAAACTACATTTCTTTCTAATCTGAACAGTCAGTCGGTGCCCCCAAAATGCATCGTCCCCTTAGCATTGTGTGAGTACTGCCATACAAAATGTTTAGATGTTTTGTCACTATGGCAGAGGACCAACAATATATAACCGAAAAGGGTAGCCTCCAAGCCAAGTTTGACATCACAGATTGCACTCACACTACCTAGTAAATTATAACCATTTTTTATTCACACGCAAAGAAAGTTTCATACATATGTAAAATGTATGAAATGTATGTATGGGCAGCAGTAGCTCAACAGGTTGAGCGGGTTGCCCAGTAATTGGAAGGTTGCAAGTTCGATCCCGGCTCCTGACGGAGAATTCTGCTATTGTGTCCTTGGGCAAGACACCACCCACATTGCCTGCTGGAGGTGTTTGGAGGGACTGGTGGCACCTGTGCTTGGCAGCCTTGCCTCTGTCAGTGCATCCCAGTGCAGCTGTGGCTACATCGTAGCTCATCACCATCAGTGTGTGGATGTATGTGTGAATGGATGAATGATACACTGTAATGTAAAGCGCTTTGGAGTCCTTACTCTGAGAGGAGCTATACAAGTGCGGGTCATTTATCATTTACAAAAGAAAATGTACATTTTCTTCCTCCTCTTCCTTGAGGAAGAAATTCCCCTTGTCCGTTTGCTTGTTCTTGTCTATCCATGTTCAGAGATCAGACTGGCGCTGGTCAAGCCCTATATATCTGTGTTTGGCAGCACATGATCATGGTAAAAAAAAATGGTAGGCATGTGTGACACTCTCCATTCATTAGTCTACTTTCAACTGTCAATGACTGTCATCAATGTATCAAATATTCAAAGAAATTCATAAATGGTATTCATGGTATTATGTTCTTGACCAATTCTGACAAATGAACAGTTTTGCATGCGAATACTTACACATTGAAATCATGCTGACATGTTTTAGAGAGAATGATCATTAGACTGAAAATCAACCAATCAGTTTAGATCTACAAGATCTATTCATTTGGAAAATGTGCAAAATGTGGGCTAACTGTATAACTGTAGGTATGGGTGGGCAATATATACAATTTAATATAGGCTGCATAGTGGCGCAGTGGTTACCACTGTTGCCTTGCAGCAGGAAGGTTGCAGGTTCGAACCTCAGCTGCGGCCTTTCTGCGTGGAGTTGCGTGTTCTCCCCATGCGTGCGTGGGTTTCCTCCGGGTGCTCCGGTTTCCCCCACAGATCACAACATGCCCTATAGTTTATACATTGTAAGTCGCTTTTGATAAAAGTGTCAGCCAAATGAATAAACATAAACGTACAAGGTAGAAACGATATAAAATTGGGTAATGATAGGGTTTTTGGCTACATTGGGTTTTTGGCTACATCGCAATACCGCGATATCGCGATAACACATGACATCACCAAGATGTGCACCCTGCTGACATTGGGACAACAGAATGGCAGTGACTGCAAGCATGGAGTGGGCAGAGGAGGAGGCCTATATGCCTCATGTGGCATATATTTGCCACATGAGGATATTTAAAAGCATGTCATTTTGATATATATAAACAGAGGAAAAAATATATCGCAATATATATCGTTACCGCACATGCTTCAGATTATATCGCAATATAGATTTGACGCCATGTCGCCCAGCCCTAACTGTAGGCTACATGTACTTAATCATTTGCAAAGATGCACTGGGACAATTGAGACATGTGCTAAAGCTTTTGCCATTTGTTAAAATGAATGAGAAATGCTGTTCTGTTGTGAACATTTGCCAAGAGGTTTGGAGGTTTGTCCATGTTATTTTGAGAATTTAATTTCTGTTTCAAGAAATGAGCGAAACCAATGGAGAAAACCTGTAAATGTAGGTTTAGCCACTTCGTTTGTTTACTAAAAACCAGGATGCTACATGCGTCCAGCAAGGTGGCTTCTCCGTCTTGTCTTTTCAGTAGTCTTATTCAACAGATTTTATAGTTAACCAACTATGTTTTGCATTGTTTCCTTTAAGTAGTATAAAACACTTTAAGCAGATCACTTCATTGAGGGTCTGAGTAGAGCTGCTATTATAAAAACTGATCTAAAATCATGATGAGTGAGGAGCAGTTGGAGAATAAGCCTTTTTTTTAAATCTCCTTAGGTATCTTGAATCGTCCCATAGAGGACCTGAACAACTTGTCATTAAAGATCAGACTTTTGCAGTTTCTGTCACGCCTAAATGAAGCTGAAAATCCAGGTAAGAAAAAAATCTGCCATACTGTCGTTTCTTTTTTTTTTCTTTTCTCTCTAAGTTAGTTTTTGTGGATTTGTGTCTCCTTTAGAAAAGCAGTTTGAAACTGATCGGACCAGTACTCCTTTGGAATCAGCTCAAGTTTTATTGGAACAAATCACAGGAGAGTTCAGAATCCCAAAGCAGATTGGTGACGATGCCAGCGTTTCACTGAGAGAGTTTGTAAGTGATGATTCACTTTTTGTGGTGGTAGTCACCCAAACGGGGGCAAATGTACACATCTATTTTGAGTCTGAGGCTTTTCCTGAAGATATCATCCATTTGTGCATGTTGTTGTGGGAGCACAATGTTTAAGAGCACTGCCTAATGGTGATATCTGGGCATTAAATAAATGTGTTTTAGTCTAACGAGTATTTTTTGGTTTTTAGATTGTGGGGACCTTCATTAAGAACAAGCAGTTTGATAAAGCAAAAGATGCTCTTCTTCGGCATCTTACCAAGTCTGTGAGTAGCAAGGTAAGTTTTTCTCATGCACTGGATTCTCCTATAGTTACACTACACCATAAAATCAAGATGGAACTGCTGGGGTGGACAAATAAAAGGATGCGTCTAAATATTGTGGAATGTGTTGATATGTGGATGGATGGGCTTTTTTTTTCCTATTGAACTGTTGAAATGTGATCCATCTACATTACGACAACTCATTTTAAGTAGTAAAAAATGTGGATACCTTGTAAAACGGTGGAATTTAGGAAAAATGTCAACACTCATTTGGAAACATAAGCTCACTTGGTCTTGTTGCAATTTACAAACAAACATAAAGCAGACAAGTTTTTGGTTTTGACATCTCACGTTTGTGTTTTCTGTAGAGGGAAACGTTCATGAAACTAATCAGTCAGAAGAGTAAAGCCCATGAGGTCATCAACCAAATCAACGTTCAGTGCCTCATGCAGGAGATGCTGGATTTTTGCCAGAAAGTCTGCCCGTTTACTCTTCCCTTTATGTGTAAGGTATGCATACTTGGATTAACGTCCTGCAAAGGGTTTTCTTCTTTCGGTCTATTAGAAGTCAAGCCCATGCAGTTTAAAACTGATTCCTAATACTTTTACTTCTAAATAAAACAAAGCGTAGGGAATTTATTATTTCAGTTGTTTTCACGGACAGACCGCAGATATGGACACCTTATTTGTTTGTTTTGCACACCAGACTGCACGATCTCTGATTGAAAAAAGACCTGAGGAAGCTGTCATTAGTACTGGTGAGCAAGACCAGTCCACTTCTTCCTGCAGCCCACAAATCAACATTTTCAATCTTCAGTTCTGGTAAGTTTTCTGTAACTCGGACGATTCCAGTCTCATTACAGTGACACTTAGTGGCGTACTGGTCTGTTCTCATCCTGTTGGTTATGGGGCAATAATAATATGCTCTCCACTTATACACGCTGTTGCGTTTTATTTTTTCCTCATAACCATTGTTGGCAGTTACCTCTCACCATGTTACATTTGTTTCAATACTAAAAAAAATAGTCTTTACTTATCTTTTCTTTCAGTGAACACTCAGTCATCCAGAAAGCCAGACTAGAAGTGGCCTACAACGCCCTGGCTGGTGGCTCAACCCAAATGACATTTGTGCAGCTGGAGGAAGAAATAAAGCAGGAGACCCAGGAAAAAGAGGAGGCTTGTCTGCAACTTTCAGCCGAAGCTATGAGGAGCACCAATCTGAGCTCGGAACAGGAAGCAGGGCTTCAGAGAGAGACACGCAGCCCCAGGGAGGCTTCTCCAGCAGACCAGCCTCCACTGCTGGACACAGATCGTCAAACACCATCGGGTTCACTTTCAGGGTACACTGTGTCACGGCTGGTGATTGGACCAGACAGTCAGCAGAACTCACAAAGCACCACTCATTCTGAGGAACCGAGAATAGAAATACCACCACAGACTCTCACCAGTAAAGACTCGAACGACATGCAGTGCCCAGTTACAGACGCAGAAATACCCTTCCCCGCACGGAAGCGCCTCCGAAAGAGCAGGCAAGTTTCATCATTTACATCATGTGTTTGCTGCTGAATATCAGTGTGTGCCATTAAAGCTATATGTTGTTGAACAGCTGTTTAAGTCACACGATGACTGAGAATTCCTCAGACTGTAATGAGGAATCCTGCGACCCTGATGAGAAGAAGAAATCAAATGTTGATGACGACGATCACCGATCCAGTCGGTCCTCCAGCAGGTTGGTTTAGCATTAGGTCACGGGGGGTGGGGGGTGGGGGTGGGGGGACCAAAACAATTAAAAAATTGTAGAAGAAAAACATTTTTCTGGTGAATGTTCTCAGTCATCCAGGTCAGGGTAAGGGTTATCCAAAAGGGTTCAAATGAAGGCAAATAAGTCTAGTTGCCTTCATTTGAACTCTTGAATGTAGGAATGGGTGAAAAACAATGTTGTATTTTTCTTTGGATTTTGTCGATATGTTGTTTGCTTCAAAGTTAAAGGTGTGGTTCACTCAATACATTTGCAGTGGTTCTCTAGTAGGAATGAAGTAAGTTGTACTCCAGGTACAAAAAGTCCTGAGCCCTCATTTAGGGCTGCTCAATTAATCGAATTTTAATCACGATTACGATCTGAGTTTTGAACGATTATAAAAAACAAAACAAGCCGATTATTTGCTCCTCCCGCTTGCGCTGCCCTGAGTTGCAAATGAAGCGCTCCTCCACAGTGTTGCCAACTTAGCGACTTTGACGCTATTTCTAGCAGCTTTTCAGACCCCCTTCTTGACTTTTTAAATCTTAAAAGTACCTAACGAACACCTCAGAAACATCTCTGGTAACCCTTAGCTACTTTCTGGATAACTGTCGTCGACATTTCCTGCAGGTTAGCTAAACACTCCGCCTGAGCTCCGGACCGTTCTTCAGGACATTAGGAAAGGGAATGATGCAGTGATGTGTCGGTCGCTAAAGACAGCTCTCGGAGCCGGCTCCCTGTTGGATTAACCAGAGTGAGTGACACACACACCGCACCTGCGGACTCCTGAGCAGCTAAAAACAGCTAAATGTGCGCGTGCAGCGCGCTAAACACACGTGCAGCTTGCCCGATAGCTGTGAGACCGGGTTGGGGGGTGGGGGGTGCAGCTGTGGTTGGGACAATTATTACATTAACTGATGGACCTGTAAATAAATAGTTTATAAATAAGGTAGAAATAAGTTCCTCACGCTGATAACTAATAACTAACCTCTCTGAGGACACGGTGCTCCTACAGCACCTTGACACGACTCAATAAATGTTATGCAACATTTTGTGAACATCAATTTATTTGCATTTATTTGTTATAAATGCCACTGTATAATTCTTGCTGTCAGTATTTGCAAGATATTGGTATTTGGGTCTGTACTGGTTAGACTCAAGGTCTATAGCCCTTGGGTCATAAACTATGAGCTATAAGTATATTGGTCTTTTTATACTGGGAATCAGGAGTTATTTTAGTGATCATCTTGTTTCTTATTTTTGTCCTAATTGTGCCCTGAGCAATTTTATGACTGAATAAAAACAAATAAAATCATCATAAATTGAAAAATCGTCCTAAATAATCGTGATCTCAATTTCAGTCACAAAAATCGTGATTATTATTTTTGCCATAATCGAGCAGCCCTACCCTCATTTATCAACCACACTTACGAACTGATCTGTGCGTATTTCGTTTGTATAAACGATTTTACTCGTGTGGTATTTACCAATATGTACTTGTGCGTGGACATGTTCCTAAATACAAGAGCAGCTCTGACCATGCGTATGAACAGCATCTAGTGGTAGAACGGGGAACCACTGCACTGACGGTCTCTGTCATCCACACATGTTCCTCATCCACAAATGAGTTTAAGTAATTATGTCGGTGGGAAAACAGCTTTTTGCATAATTGGTGCTAAAACCAATCAAAGACATATGACCGACGGGAATCTGACATTAAATCATGGCTGTTCTGTGTTATTGGAGGATTTAACAGAGCGTGCACACTGAAGGGAACACGTCCTCCATCCTCCTGTGCTGAGATTTGAGACCCTTTGTGGCACGATAGATAAACCGCACAAATCCAGTTCCTGGTTATATTTTATTTTACAACTACGAGAACCCCCCCAGAGCCTCCTCTGCTCCCCGATCATACACCAAGGTAACCAGACCGAATGACAGCTCAGAAGAGGCTGCACTCTCAGACAACATTTCCAAATAAAACTAAATCCAAACAGAATAACTCCTTAACAACCCGTTACTCCACGATTTATCGGATTTGTTCTTTTATTTATTTCTGACATTAACCTCTCCGCTGTCCCGAGCGTGTTTTCAACCTCTGCAACTTGTTTGGTTGTTTTGCGCTTTGGCAGCCAGTGTCTCGATCTCGCTGTCGATAAAGTTTTTCTTATTTTTCCAGGGGCAAAAACAGAAAATTCCCTCGCGTGCTGAGGACGTAGCGTGACCAAAAATGAATAATTGAGGATGTTTCTGTATGTAAATGACTGAAGGGACACGAGCACCTGGGTACGCACAGGCAGGATTTATCATCAAACGGTTGTGGAGGAACATGCGTTCATAAATCAGGATTTTTACTGTTCATACACGCATTCTACATTTCATTCATAGGAAGGAATATAAGACGGTTTCTAAGAACGTTTGATAAATGGGGGCCATGGTGCGCCACGATGGTCACGATCTAGAAGATTGCCAGAACAGTGGAAAGATTCAGATGGTGGAACTTGGAGCCTTACTTCTTGATATTTGAACATCTTACTCACCTCTGATTGGCTAACAGCAATGCACCTCTACCACTGACTCTGTTTACTTTGCAACATTGACAAATAACACAAGTCTGGAGGAGTTCTGCCGTGTTGTGGAGTTGCTAATGATTAGCTCCTATTAGGCGAGACGTTCTCTGCAGTTTTCTGGACACTAAACCAACAACAGCCTTCCCCGTCGTGAGTCGAGATGGGTGAGTCCATGAATGTTAAGTGATTGTGTGATGTCATGCAAATCCTAGCTTTCCCTTTCTATTTTCTACCAGAAGCTAATGTAGGAGACGATTTTCATCTTCGGCCTGGATGGAAAACTCAGAATGACCTATTATAATCAAGTATAATAATAAAATAATGTTTTTCCAGTGAACCACATCTTTAATATTAAAGTCCAGACTACAGTTTAAAACCCAGAGCAGATTTTTTTGTAGTGTGATGTGTGAAATGCTGTTTAGTAAAAGCAAGTAGCACATTATCTGATTTCAGAAATTGATCAGGAGCTGGCGGATCCAAGTTTTCTTGATAATCGATTCAACCAAAAGTTCCTGTTTCCAAAACGATTTCCTTCCCTTTCACCTTAGAGATTCTTCAGAAGTGGAGGACGGTCCACAGGTGTCCTTGACTCCCTCAAGAACTTCACAAAAGACTCCATCCAAACCACTGGCCAGATGTTCTCCAGCCAAGTGAGTCCAAACGCTCAATGATCCGTTTGATTTCTGCAGCTTGAGTGGTGATTAATGTGCAAATGTATCGACGAAGTGATCCAGGTGAAGTGGAAGACATTTCTATCGTGGACTCTTCCTTGGACAGCTCGTCGAGTGTCTCCTCTCATCCCTCTCTCCCACAGAGCTCAACCCCACAGAGGGCTCGTCACAAGGTTCCCCTGGATTTAGGCTGGTGAGTTTGAAGAATACCAGAGTCTTCTAGCTGAGCAACAAGACATTTGATCACTGAATAAAACTCAGTTTTTTTCTTCATGTTGAAATAAAATGCTTCATAATTGCATCTGTGCACTTTGATCTACAATTACGATCAGTGAACCCAGTAGTCTTAATATTTACAGGAAACAACTGGCCAAAGAAGCAAAGGAATCTAAGGAAACATGGAGTGATGAAGAACTGTGTTTTACCTCCACAAGGAGCACCGCAACTGGGTCAAGTATGAGAGTTGATTATCCCGTTGTAACTCCAGTTGTAAAGACGTATATTTTTCATTGTAACTTGTTTCTTTATTGTCTTAAAGGAAGCAACAAAAGCACCATATCTAAATGTGGGACAAGGAAGAGGGTAAGAATATGTCATTAAAAAACAGGATTACAATAAAAGCCTTGGCTGGACACAAACCCAGGACCTTTTTAGTGCACGGCCCCAGCCGATGATGTACATATTTATATTTAAACAGTGGTAATCAGAAAGTACAATAAGTAACAGTTTTGCAGTGAAACCCTTATGAGGTTCATAAGAAAGTGTGATGTTCCAGCTGCTTCCATCCACTGTTGCTTTTGTCACACAACCACTGCACACACGAGAAGCTGCTGATGGTTCCAAGTGTAACTGTTGAGTAGATACAACGTGCAATTGTTTTCTGATCAAGGCAAAAGTCAATGCTTTAAATGAGCCTTGCATCTCTTCAGCGTGGCCTGGAGTCGGTTGTTGCAGATGAAGTGTTTCTTCTGTTGTTGGAGAGATAATTTGTAAAAGAGCAACAGAAAAGTTTTCAAGTTAAAATGAAGTGCATCTTTTTAAAATGGTGTCTGACCCCACCCTCTGGAATGAGGTGGAGCTCGGCTGTTGCCATGCAGACATCTGAACTATTCAATAGCTCTTGCACTCGTCTGCCTTGAAAAGATTCACGTGAAAACTTTACCATGAATCCAGTAGGGTTCAAATGAAGGCAACTAGACTTCTTTGGTTTCTTGAAGATGTTTTGCTTCTCATCCGAGGAGCTTTGTCAATTCTAACTGGAATGTGGGAGGGTCAAGCTTATAAGGTGTAGCTGTCTGTTATTTAGCGAGGAGAAACTTCTCTGGGTACCCCTCCTCTCTACCCCCTGATGAGTCACTAGTCTCTATTGTGCGGGACTCGTTGATTAGATGCAGAAAGGTGTGACCTAGACTGAAACTGCTTAGGAGTCAGATTTTCACGTTTGACATAGATGGCATCTTCTCAAACCATCCACCTTATCTGTCCAGAATGTGCACTTTGTCATTTTCAAAGTTGTGTCCCTTGTCCTTCAGGGGTAGGTGGACTGCAGTCTTGACCTGAAGAGGTGGCTCTCCTGTGTTGTGTTATGCTCTTGTGTAATTGTTGTTTAGTTTCCCCGGTGTAAATCTCCCGACAGTCCTCACTACATTGGACTGCATAAACAATGCCACTGAGCTTCTGTTAGGGTGTTTTGTCTTTTGGATGGACCAGTTTCTGTCTGAGGGCGCCGTTAGGTTCAAAGTTTACTGGGATGTTGGATTTTGAGAAGATTCTTTCAAGTTTCTCAGACTCCCACCACGTATGAAATGACGGTGCCTTTGTGCCTGGTGTCCTCTTCTTTGCTAGTTGTGGCTTTGGATGCTTTTCCAGACTTATTAAAGATTTCACAAAGGCCCACTTAGGGTATATGCAGTTATGGAGAGCTTTCTTGATGCGTTTTCCTTCAGTCTTTGTGGGAATGTTCTCGGCCCGATGGTGTGAAGTCCTGGTGACTGACATTTTGTGCTCCAGTGGGTGATGTGAGTCAAAATGCAAATACTGGTCTGTGTGAGTTGGGTTTTCTGTAGACTTCAACGCCGAGACTTGCATCTTGTTCAGTTTGCACAGCACAGTCCAAGAAGAGCAGTTGGTTGTGTGCGTCCTCCCTGGTGAACTTGATGTTTTTGTCCACGGCGTTAATGTGCTTGGTAGTCTTCTTCCTTTGTGAGAATTTTGATCCATGTGTCGTCCACGTACCTGAACCAGTGGCTTGGTGTTGTTCTATTGTAGGAGTTCAGTGCTCTGGTTTCCACTTCCTCCATGGACATGCTGATGATCGGTGACACTGGAGAGCCCATGGTGCATCCACGTTTTTGCCTGTAAAACTTGTGTTTGAAGTAGGTGGTAAAGGCAGAGTTCCAGGTGGTTACAGATCTGGTTTGAGGAGATGAGGGGTACTCAAAATAGTTTCTGCTCGTTAAGAGACAGCTGCACCTTGTAAGCTTGACTCTCCCATAATCCAGTCAGAATTGCCAATGCTCCTTGGATGAGAAGTGAAACGTCTTCAAGAAACCAAGCAAGTCCAGTTTCCTTCATTTAAACCCTTTTGGATTACCATGACCTGGATGACAGAACTTTCACCAGCATATTTACCATGAATTTACTGACTTTTCTGAGCAGCAAAGAGCCAACAGACTTTGTGTGTGTGTGTGTGTTGCAGGCCTGGACAGAAAAAGAAACGGAGAAATTAAAAGAGGGTGTGAAGAAGTTTGGTGTGGGGAGCTGGAGTAAAATTAAGAGCTTTTATTCGTTTGACCGTTCTAATGTCAACTTAAAAGATCGCTGGAGGACCTTAAAGAAGTCAAATCTAGTATGAGTGTTTTTTATGTTTGTTTTAAAATTCTTTCTGTTCTGACATTTGTTTAAAGAGACCATGTAGAAAATACATTGCAACAGAAGCGTTTCCCACAGTTGGACATTTCATTTTTCAAATAAACACTAGCAGAGCTTTGCAAAATGAAGGTGAGATTACAAAACAGTTTATTTCAGTCTTGTGTCTGTAGAAAAAACACAGTCCAGTTAAGGTTCTGTTAGAGGAGTCTTGATTCAGCCACATCACCACGAGGCAGTGAGTGGGTAAATCAAGTCATTCTGGGTGCGAATCTGAATAAAAAGAAGTCCATCCAGTTTCTGTGTCTTTATGTCAGTGTGTCCTCATTTCTGATGAACTCTCCCACGTCGGCCTGGTGGAACACAACGATGGACATAGGATCCACTCGCCGACACTCCTGGGTCGACTTTGCTGCCACTCCGAAGCCCTGAGCATGAAAACACCAGACTGTCACATAGGGCTGGACAATAATTCACAAACCACATGTATCTGTTGATAGATTTCAATTAAGTTTCCTTTTTTCATTCTAGCCTATTAACCCTCTGATGCATGAATTATGAAATCTTCAACCATGATTTTTTTAACAATTTTTTTCATTCATCTTTAGGTGTGAATGAAACAAATTTCAACAAATATTTTTTTGTAAAATTTTATAATTTACAAATAATTTATTACATGTCCACCTCAGTGGACAGCGTGCATTCTGAGCATGAAATATGTTGGCTTGGCTTACTGAAGTCCAAATGGAGGGGCTCAAATGCAATAAAGTCTTCAACAGCTGTGCTTAATAGCAAAAACAAATAATAACAATTTTGAGTACCTGTCCACTGTAGTGACCATTATGCATCAAAGGGTTAATTAGCTTAATTCTAGAGTTACTACTACTACTTACTCCCAGCTAATCAAAAACAAGGACCCAGGCACCAAGCCCTCTCCTCTCTAACCTAAACAGACAGCTTGTCATTTAAATGAGATGCTTCAGCAAGAACAGGTGGAGGAAATGGTCCCAATTAAAGGTTACAGCAGTTCAACCTGCATGGAAATGTTTTTATTTTTGCAAGTCTGACAAAAAACAAATGTTAGTTTGCAAATTTGCAGACAAAAATCAAGTCTGGTACCAAAACCAACTTATCATTAAGTAATGACAAAATGGCCAGGGCTGCACTTAAAATATCTTTTCTACATTTGTATGGTAATTATTCATATTGATCACTATGAATTTTTGATTGATATGCTTTTTCCTATATCTTCCAGCCCTACTGCCACAGCAACAAATGCTTTAAAACATAGAAAAAGCAATTTTCTGGAACATAATATAGTTTTATCAAATATACATAGCCAGTGTTTTACAATGTTATACAGATGCAACAAATAAATTAGCATATGAATTGTGAAGTAAGTGTTTTATTTAGCTCACAAATCACAGTCCAATAATTTATTTACTGTGGTGACATAATCAAACACCAGTAACCCTTCCATACATTTTCAACCTTGGGTTGGGTCGCTGGGGCAGTAGCCTAAGCAGGAAGGCCCAGACTTCCCTCTCCTCCCTTCCTCGGGAGGAGGATTCCTAAGGCATTCCCTAGCCAGCAAGGACTACGTTTACATTTAGCCAATATCCGGGTTATGATCGGGTTAAGGTCGGTATTCGGGTTTCTGAGTTGATCAGAATAACCCGTTTACAAGCATAAATAGAAAGAGTTACCTCTAACTTGCATAACCCGATTTAAATGCGGACATTGGGGTAGCATCAGGACGTATGGACTACGTCCTGACGCAATATGCATCATATTTCGCTGTGTCTGTACTTTCAGCCGTCAACAAAAGACATAATGTTCATACTTTTCACCAGACCGATGAAGACAGAGGTTTCCTCATCACTCCAAAAGTGTGGTGCTGTGCCGCGACTCGCCATGTTACTCCCGGTGTTCTGGCGCATACAAGACGTCTCGCTACTCAAAAGACCAAGATTCCTTGTGAACAGAGCATGCGCAGAACACACACTTCGATGGGGATATCCTGATGTGCGTTTACACCAAACATTCGGGTTAGAAAAGGGTTACCCCAGGTGTAGTAACCGGGTTTTTAAAAACCCGGTTATGAGCATATCCGGGTTTTTGGCGGTGTTTACACGGCCGTGCGGAACCGGGTTATTGTGAATGTTCGGGTTTTAAAAGGGTTACTGACTGCATGTAAACGCACTCAGTGAGTCTCTCTTGCATGTCCTAGGTCTTCCTTTAGGTCTCCCGGTAGGATGTGCCTGGAAAACCTCACCAGGGAGGTGCACAGGAGGCATCCTTACCAGATGCTCGAGCCACCAGTAACCCAGTTCAATCTATTTATCCCAATGGCACTGGCTCTTTCAGTCATTCTGGTATATGTTCATCTTTAAAAAAAAATGCTGTAAGACCAGTCTGACTTTTAAGCTGGTTCGTAATTAACATTAATGGTTAAGTATGGTGACCAGTTTGTGTCCAAGAAACAACTTTTTTTTTTAAGTAAACAGTCTTGTCCTGTAAACAGCTATAATTCCTAAACCCTTCCTGGTTGTGTTTTGTTCAACAGTCAACAATGTAAGTATAATTATATAAGTATATTACTTACCAAAGGTACATCAGCCATGGAGTAAACCACGACTCCTTGATACTGCATGGTATTTTCAGTAATTCTGCCGAGACCAGATTTTAGCACATGGTTTCCATACAAGAACGACTGCTCTGCTCCAGGTTTCACCCACACCTTAAACTAGAATCATAGTTTGAAGTTAGTTATACACGTATATCAAACCAAAGAAAAACAACATTCCTAACAGAGACCAGACAAAATCAGATTACTGGTAATACTTATGTAGTATCTGCTGCTCTGAAATTTACCATCAACAGCTTCTGGTTGAAGCACAATTAAAAAAAAAAAAAAAAAAGTGTTTCAATACTTGTGGGTCGACATTAGTGCAGAGACACACAGTTATTTTCCCCTTAATGTAGTCCTGGAACACTTGTACGTACCTTTGCATAGGGCGCGAGGAAATCCAGCGCAGTGACGTGCAGGCGGAACTTAGTGGTCTTTGTAAACTTCCCAAAACACGTCCCAACTGAAATGAGCTTGTCCCGGGAGAAGTTTGTAGCCAGCTTCAGGATTTTTTCACTGTGGACCAAAACTCAATAAGCTTCTCCATAGAAACCATAAATTACTGTTTACTGGTTATAAACATACCTCATGTAGTACACACGGTCCTGGTGTAGCCTGAAACAGTAGGTACCATCGGGTCGGTCCACTAGAAGTTTTATGTTTTCACCAATACTTGATTAGAAAGAGAGAGCATTTCAGCTAACACACATGCTAACGCAACATTGATGAAATCTGAGTCCTTAAAGGGACATAAAAAGATATTTAAGCTCACTTACTACTTCGACAGCTTCTCGAACATTACTTTTGTTTCCTCTTCCGTTAACGGTCTCATTTTTGCGAATTTTACTATTCCTTTTTAGCAACACGAGAACGACAAGAACGTGGGTCTAAGCGGAAGTCGTCAGAATGCTCAACCGGAAGTCGCTCTACGTACAGCCAGTGCAGTTCCTGATTTTTTTTTTTTTTTTTTTTTTTTGACATTTTTCAGCTTTCAGCTTCGACAGTGCGTTTTCCTCCGGCTAACCCCGGCCACCCCCTGGTGAGTTTATTTCTCTCAAAAAATCAAATGAAACGCTTTGATAATGTTTAGCAAGACTAAATAGCAACTATCCGAGACCTTATGTGATAAAATGCGTTCTTTTTGTTAAAAATTTGAGTAGAAAATTGACTCGGTTAGCTTAGCCGGCTAGCTGTCAGTAGGAAAAAAACTCAGACTTGCGGTTGCTAAATGGTTAGCTTTTGAGAAGCTGCTGACAACTCTTACGCCTTCTTTTTGTAGGAGCTCATTTCCATTTAATAACCACGTTAAATTAGACTTGTACACAAAATCGGTAGGATACAGTGAAAGACTGACGTTTTTTTTGTTTTGTGTTCTGATTTGAAAATGTCGATATTTTTATGCGGTAGCGGCGTGAAGTTATATAACGCTTATTTGTTTGTAAATACCATTCACCTTTGTTATCTAAGCTCCGAGGTAGGATCACTAATCTTCTCAGGAGTTGACATATCACTAGAAATGTACATTTCTGGAGTCTTTCTCTGCCAGCTGACTGCGGTTCCCCTGCAATGATGTCAGCGATGTATTTATTCCCTGTCAGCTGCAGAGTCAGTAACACAAATTGGGAAGAGGTACTTTGTCAGCAGACTTTTAGCATTTTGAGCAACATTTGATCTTCTTGTCACTTCTTCTTTACCAGTAGTAGGGCAGATCTTTTGCAGAAAGGTGTCAGACTGCTACACAAAGCATATTTTCATGTTTAAGTGATCATTAGTGTGATTCTCAGTTAGAAAATGGCATTATTGTTATTGGTGATCATGTGTTTATAAATTAATTTCATCATGTGTTTCTCTACTCATTCCTTTTTTTATGCGGTCACATTTTTTTCTCAATTGTTTAACCATTCCTAAAATGTTTAGCATTTTTGTAGAAAACCGTATACTTAAAGGTGATGGTACAAACTTCGAGCTTTCACAACAACAAAAGAATCAATCAAGTATGTCCAAACTTCCCATCGGCTCATTTTCTTCTCATAAGAGTCAATAGCTATCCTGGTTATGCTTACTTCTTTATGGGAACATGTGCTTTTGACTTCCAGGTGAATATCAGTGACTTGATGCAATCTGCTGGATTCCTTATATAGGAAACTTTTTTCTGATTGGCTTAATGAACTGACCTGTATTGGAATGTCAATTATGTGAAGTGCCTTGAGACGACTCTTGTCGTGATTTGGCGCTATATAAATAAACTTGAAATGAATTCAATGGTTTTGATTTTTGTCATTTTACAAGATGCAAAAATCTCTTGACAAACACATGGGACTACATCTAAGAAACTATGTTGGTCTGGTCAAGTTAAATCGATGTGTCCTTTGATAATCCTAGGGGTTTTCCCATTCGTTGCTGTTGTAACACTGAGAAATGTCAAAGGCGAGGAAGCTTCTCCAAAGAATTTCATGTTTCCAAGGCTGAAAATGTGGAGCTCTGGATACTCAAATTCTATAAAATAAACAAGAAATGGTCAGATGTGTTTAAATCCTCAGCCAGACTTTTAATGATCCAACTAAAATAGTGATATTTTGTTGGGAAATGTACTCAAATGAATAAAAACACAAGTGTGCTTGAACATTTGTAGTAGTCACTGTTACTCATGAGTTTCTGTCCATCCTGTTTGTACAGCTTCTGGATGATTTCAGCTCAAGTGGGGGTTGTTCATTGTAATCACTTCTTTTAATAAAACCCCAGGGTTGATTTAAGATAATTTAGAACTAAAACATGCAGCTATTGTTACCTTAAAGTTAAAAAAGTACTAAAATATTCTGTTTATCAAGTGACCCACAAAAGAAAAATAATTTAAATTGTTGTCAACAAATGCTTAGATCCCATATTTAACGTTTTTAATCAGTATTTTTGTTTATAACCTTTCTTGTTGGGCGTTGAAATCCTACTTAATGTACAAAATTAAAGAGTTTGACCTCAAACAACCTTAAAAACACCTATTCAGTCACATGACATGTTTCTGCAGAAAGGAGTTCATACAGGGAAACGGTAACAGAAACGTGTGGTGTGTTTTTTTTTATTCATAAGAACTCCTTTAATGTAGAGAATTAAAGTTGTTTTTTATTTGCTGGGATCCAGATTCTCTCAAAACTGTCATTTTACTATCACAGTGTTGACTAAAGTAACGGGGTGTATCTGTTTTTCATTAAGGGTTTGGCTTGATTCCTCTCTTTTGACAGGTGTCTGCCACCTTGTTTTGTTGCCGGAGCAGAACTTGTGCCAACAGTTTACCCCCCGATAAGCCAGTGGCCTTTCTGCCAGCAGTTTCCGGTGTGTTTGTGATTCTGCTAACTCTGAACAGGAAGACGTCTGCGCTGTGAGAGGAAACTCTTGTGGCTTGTTCATCATCCTCAGAATGACAGAGTTCTGGGTTTGTTTCAGCTGCTGTATTGCAGAGCAGCCGCAACCAGTAAGTATGAAATGGACTATCAAGAGTGAAAGATTTGACAAAAATGACATTTGTGGATGCAAAAAATTAGAATGTGATGTTAAGGGTTGAGCTTATTAGAAAGTAAACAACAAAGGAGATAAAAGCCTCAGATATAAAGTTTTGTTTCATTTCAACACCTCAGAAGAAGCTGGATTGTTTCTGACTTTCCTGATGAGGATGTCGTTACTGCTTACTGATAAAGATGTGTCCAACAAAACTCTCCTTTGTGTGCCCCTAAGGTGTTATTATGTATCCAGAGTAGGGGTGGGCAATATAGACGATATAAGGTAGAAACAATATAAAATTGGGTAATGGTAGAGTTTTTGGCTATATCACAATACCGCGATATCGCGATAACACATGATGTCACTTAAGCCGTTTTCAGATTGACATACTGGAACACGTGTGGACAATTCAGTCCGGTTTTTAACCAGAACTGTGTTTTCAGACACACCACTTTTGTACCTGAACTCGTCCTTTCGGCTGCCTTCACACAGCAGGGAAAAGTTCCAGATGTCTGAGGGGGAGGGGGTGGGAAGACTGTACCCGGATATTGCGTAAACATAGTGAGGCGGGCGTACATGCATCATTTACCCAAACAAAGCCATTCAGTCAAACATGGCCGAGGAAGAGCTAGAGTCGGACTTATGTTAAGCATAATTCTGCGCACACGAAGACGCATAAGAGACCTGGATGATGAAGCTCAATGGCTAATAAAGGAATCACGGAAGCGGTGTGAAGCGCTCCGTCGCGCGTCTAGGAGACGGTACCGTAGGAGGCGAGCTGCCATCGTTTACCGCATTACCGCATGCTACAGGAGCGAGCTATCTATGTGCGCACAGCGTCCCCCGGTCCCCTCCTCCTCCCTGTACGGAACTCGACCTCACCAGTCTGAAGCAGCCACCTTGTCCGTGACAAGTCCGGTCCTGTTACTAGGGGCATCGTCCGGTTTAATTATGCAAAAGGTTATCCGGATGTTTGTATTGAGACACAAAGGTCTTAAGAACAGAGTCCCGAACATCTCCGTTTTTCATGGCCTGTCTGAAGGGGGCTTTAGATGTGCACCCTGCTGACATTGGGACAACAGAATGGCAGCAACTGCAAGCATGGAGTGGGCGGAGGAGGAGGCCTATATGCCTCATGTGGCATATATTTGCCACATGAGGATATTTAAAAGCATGTCATTTTGACATATATAAACAGAGGAAAAAATGTATCACAATATATATCGTTACCGCACATGCTTCAGATTATATTGCAACGTAGATTTGAGGCCATATGGCCCAGCCCTAATTCAGAGATAAATAAATACAAATATCAACTCTGAAGATGAGGAACCTTGTTTGTCATTTCTTTGAGAAATTTTTAAATATTCAAATTTTAGTAGTATAACCTTGTTTTCAGGCGATGAGTTGGCACTGAAGGGGAACATTACTATGTAGTTTTTGGTAAGATGAGAGGCATAAAAAGTGTTTTTCCTCTTCAGAAACGGCGGCGACGAATCGACCGCTCTATGATTGGAGAGCCAACAAACTTTGTTCACACCACACATGTAGGCTCAGGGGACATGGGCCTGGGAGTAGCAGCAGTAGGTCCTCCACACACTTTATGAAATCTTCAAGCATTTCTTAAATTGATTTCTCGGTCAGTTACTGTCTGCACTTTTTTGTAGGTGGACCTTGTTCAGGCACAAATGAAATCTAAAGGAGGCTACTCGCACGGAGGCTCAGAAGGCTCTCAGTTATAAAGAGGTGAGTGATGCTTTGGCTTGCCATGCTGGGTCAGGTTGGACCTGCTTTCACCCCAACAGCTGGTTGTAACTGGTAAACGTTCCAGTTATTACTGCTTACGTCATTTTACCGGTTGGAGATCAGAACAAAGGAGCATTCTAGATGAAATCTCATAAGTTACTCAGAGGGGGTAATCAGTAAATTTTTCAATGAAAGTATGTGCTTCCTCTTACTTATTTTGCCATAAATGATGCACCAGTTTTATACTGTAACCAATCTGGCTTCTGTTTTTAAAAGGGCTCATTCACTGAGAAACTGTGTAGTTGTTCTGGTTTTTCTAAATACCACCAGTCGCTGAGTTGCATGCATGCTGAACATATGTTTTGTCAACTGGCAAAATTAGCATTCATGTCCCCCCGCCCACCTTTGTTTGCGACTGCATCTCCACTAGTAGAAGCTAATCATTAGCATTAGCAAGTCCCCAACATGGAGGAACTTGTTTGGGCTTGCTATTTGTGGAGAAAAATCATCAGCGTTGTGGTTTTTACTAAGAAAGAAGAGCGAACGAAGGTAGCGGAAGAGTCACATTGCTGTTAGCCAATCAGAGGCAAGATGGTCGCACGTTGTGATTATAAATTAGTAAGACTCCAAATTATTCTGCCCCCCACCCCCACACCTCAGGCTAATTTGAAATCCCTGAAATGGGAGCACCAGCAATGTTTAAACAACTAACAAAGACACCCAAAAATGAGTGAATAAGACCTTTAAGTTTTTTTGTTGACGTTGTAAATAAAGACAAAAGCAAGCCTTTGAGTTAAAACACAACATATACAAGTGAAAGTTCTTGTTCTGACTCCACCCGTGTTGCGTTTAAAATAATGGCACTGAGCTGCTCTTGCAGAGCAGCTCACTTTTGTGTGGCTTTGAGAGGAAACTGGAGCAGTGCCACATTGTACGTATTTAGTCGTGTTTCACTGGGGAAATCCTGTTTGAAGAGTTTGATCAACATTTTCTTAATAATCTTTGTTGTTATTAATAACAACTTTAATTTATCTAAATTGTGTTCATTAGAGGTTTTTTTTTTATATGTCTGTTTTAGGCTGTGCCATCATGGCTCCCTGTTGTCCTCAGGCTTCTATTAAAATAGCACTTTTTGTTTTTAAACAATAAAATAGTTCTAAGTTTTTCTATTGTTGTTAATATTTTACCTGGAGGTACCAGCAGCGTGGAACAGCATGAGGGCCGTTTACTTGCACGCTTTGCGGTGTGTCCATACACACCATCTTGCCTCTGATTGGCTAACAGCAATGTGACTCTTCCGCTACCTTCGTTCGCTCTTCTTGCAACATCACAAAAATCCCTTGAGACTTCCAAAGGTCACGGTTTGTTTATGCCATCTGCCATTAAACCAAAAAGAGGAAGGATGTTTCGTTTGATATAATCATTCGATGTTATATATAATGTTCCTCTCCACTGACAGGATTAAAACCACGAAAAACACACCGTTGCACTTCAGTTCAGTTCAGTTTTAGTTTATTTGTCATATGCAAGTTAGCACAGGGTCAACATTGCAATGAAACGTGTATGACGAGCAGCGGTCCCCCCTTCACTTCTTGAAAGATGCTTAGAGTAAATAAGTTAAGTCGCACACATAGATTTAATCTACATAGATAAAATATTGCATCTTTGCTATAGTCTTTTTTTTTTAATTACCAGATCTTTTATTATTATCATTTCCTGTCTAGATGTTTGGGTTTGTGACATAAGTAGAACCCAATCCTATCTTTAGCTTCTGGGACGCGTTTGAAATGTTCCACGTCGCGGCCAGTTTGGATCAACCCTATAGAGCAGTGGTCTCCAACTCCCTTCCCAGAGGGCCGGTATCCTAGCCTGGCAAGGCAGACTAAATAAATGTATTATTTAGTCTGGCCACGCTCCATTGACGGCTCTCTGTTGTGGGGCGGGTTCTACCGTTGTCTTTCAAATGATCTCCGCATTCCACTGGACAATGAATGAGACATACTCTTGTTTCACTCTGTTGCATCATCCCACCCA